ATAAATTAAAACAAAAATTAATTTTTAAAGTGTTATATAAAAAAAAATTTATATAACAATTTATAGGAAACTGTTGCTGTGATTGATCCTAGAATGTATTATATTTAATTTCATTTTATTTACTTTATTGCCTTATTATTAAATAAAAAAAAATAAAAAAACATTTCATATACTTTTGCTATCTTTAGCTGCTACATATTTTGATTTCAGCTAACTCTAACTCTAACTCTAATAAGGAATGAGCCCTTATGCGTAAAAGACGTACACTGTAATTATCGAGAAGGATTTTTTTTTTTAAAGGGGCTAGAATTTTTTTCGATTTATCGCGATTTTCGATTTAGCCGGGTACAATTTATAGAGACTCGACTGTATCATAAGTAGCTGAGCAAGCATATTTCTTGAAAAGGGCATGACTATTGTTAGGTCTTCAGGAATATGTCATTATAAATTCCATATAGCTTAAGATCTAGTTACATAAATGTTTATATGTATAAGTCAATGTAAGCTTCTTTGGCAACTGTTGTTTGTGACCTTTCATGCAGTTTTAAGACGGTTATATAACCGTTACAGTAAAATCTATAGCAAAACTGCTTTAAAAATAGTCTTAAAAATAAACAAAAATTTAATATTTATTATTTATAATATTTATTAATGAACATACAAGACTATAAACATTTTGCATATCTTTTCATTCTATATGTTCTTATCGTTAAAAAATGAGTTAGTTGCTGCTGTCCGAAGACATTATTGGCACACTGTATTTTCTTTATCCCAGAATTTCCATCAGTTCCAACAACTGCTCTATCCAATACCAAATGGTATCTGCTTTGCATATACCTTCGCTCTGCAGTTGTTGATGTGGGGTATACAAATGTTTGCGCTGGCTATGACGACAATGAAAGCCAAAGGTCATTTTACCGCACGCACACAAACACACACACTCACACCCATTTAAGCAGTGAAATGCATTTGATTGTTTGTGTTTTTCATTTTTTATTTAAAAATAAAAGAACACAGAGGCACACATACAGAGAGCCACACGCTCACACTCACACACTACAAACGACGTGCGAAAAAAAAGCTCATACAGAATTTTCCGCTTTATTTACGCGTGGCCAGCAACAATACTGGTCATGTGATACCAGCACCACAGCAGCAACAGCAGCAGCAGCAACAGCAGCAGCAGCAGCAGCAGCAGCCAACCAAGCTTCAGCAGCAGCACCACCACCACCAACACCACCAACGCCGTCAACAACAATAACAACAGCAGCACATGTCAATATTTTAACGCTCAGCCACAAGGGAAGCTCGATTGCTGCCACATGAACTGTTGCTGCTGCTGCTGTTGCTGCTCGCTTTCATTTGCGGCAATTGGAGTCGTGGCGTTATTGATGTGTAAAGTGGATGCCGTTGTTTAATAAAATTAAAACACAAATTTAATATTGCCTCCTGCTGGGCGCTGATTTCGCACGTTTATAACAGCAGCAGCAGCGGCAGCCAACGACGATAATAATAATAAAAATCATATATATTATTAATATTGCAAGGCAATGAATATATTTCGCGCTGTCTGCCTTTTGGCCATGCAGCCAGAGTGCAAATGTCAACTGGCTCATTATCAGCCCGGATAGTTAGTTAATGTGACTTCGAACAATCTGCGTGGCTTTTGCCTCAAAGCTGAAATGAGAAACTTTTCACCCGCTGAGAGGAGAGGCAAGGGCTTTTAGCTGAACTACTTCTAGCACGCTTCCTTTCTATAATCATAACATGGCAATTTTATTCAATTTCCTGCCTTTTGTGTGTGCCACGGGCAGATGGCGACGCTGAATGAATGCAGGCTGCCAGCGGGGGTACCAGCTACAAGATGCTCTGTAAAAAGGAATTTCAAATAATGTAAGAAGGTAAAGAGTGGGAAAAAAATCAACTTATATGAAAATATTTATAATATTTAGAAAAGTT